TGGCGGGCCTGCCCGGGAAAGCTGGGCCAGAAGAGGACCACCAAGAAGCAGGAGCTGCGGGGGTGGGAGACCTGCATGGGCGGGAAGGCTGCCGGGTCGTGGCCGAGGGGCTGGCAGAAGCAGCTCATACGATTTTGCTGGAGAGCCCAGGGAGTCCTGAAACCGAGCTCTGGGCGAGCCTGGGGAGCAGCCAGCAGGAGCTGAAGCGCATGGGGCTGGCCAGCCTCTGCAGCTGGAAGGAGCTGACCAGCACAGCAGCGGAAGTGGAGGGGATCAGGGCTGGACTGCAGTGGGCAGAGAGGGCCCTGAAGAGCAGCCAAAAGAACAAGGTAGGGCTCTGCTCCCCTCCCTGCTCCTGCCCTCCAGCCCTCCTACCCCTGGCCTGGCACAGACAGATCCTTCATGTTCTCCTGCTCCCCATGCAGCTGGCTGAGGAGGAGCTGGGCCGTCGCATCGCCACCTTCCAGGAGCAGCTGCGCACCCTCCAGCGGGACCTAGAGCAGACCCAGAGCCAGCGCCTCGTGCCCCTGCTGCAGGTCACTGCCCGCCTCCTGCACCTGCCCGTCCTGAGTGCCGGGCTCGAGGGGGAGGCAGCTGGCCTGGGGGACCTCGCCCAGAAGCAGGAGGAGGTTGCAGGGCAGCTGCTGGCCCAGCACAGCCGCCTGGAGCTGCTGGGGCTGCAGCTGACCCTGGAGATGAGGGAGCAGCAGCAGGTGGGGACGTGGCTGGAAGAGACGGCAGCCATCCTCCAGGATGCTAGCGCCAGCCTGCAGGAGCGCCTGGCCTGCCTCGAGGATGCCAGCCTGTACATCAAGGCCTGTCCCCGCACTCTGATGGATTCCAGAGATTTCACCTCTATCCGGTAAAGGGGCCTCTGTCCTGGGGTAGGGGTGCAGCGTTGGGGCAAACCAGTCAGCCGGCTAAACGCTTAGAATTGTATCACTTAACTAGTTCACTATTGGTGTGGAAGGGCAGCTGGGTGGGAGGTCTTACCGGGGCCTCTGGGGCCAGGTCTGGGACCACCAGGCTGGGGGGGGCTGTTCTGGCCCAGCCCTGCCATGGGCAGCTAATTGGCCCCACGTGCTGGGGGCTGCTGCGGCCCTACCATGGCAGGGGTCCTGCTGGCCAGGCTGCCTTGGGCAGGAGGCTGCTCCTGCAGGTTGGGCCCTTCAGTTGATCACTGAGCACGTCGTAAGGCCTATGCTTACTGGGTAACCGGTTACCTGTTTAAGTTTTAATGTCCCTCCCTTGGGGCTGGGGGAGGCACGACGCCCGTCAGCGGGGGCCACACGCTGGAGACTGGAGATGCTGCCGTATGAAGCAACGGTGATTGTTCAGAGGCGGGGGTACGATGGATCCAAATGGCAGCCGGTCAAGGAAAGGCCAGTCTCTTGCTGCCAGTTACCCTTTCATGACCAAGGGGAAGGGCTGGCCACTGGGGAGTGAGAAGCTCCCTGTCTGACTCTCTCAGCCTGTAGCACCAGAGCTGCAAACCTCTGCCAGCCAGATGCAGAGCTGGAGGCATGGAGAGGCATGTGGGCCTTCCCTGCCCGTCCCCCTCCCTAAGCTTCGCCAAGGGCATGCTCCTGCCAGTGGGTGCTACCGTTCTTTGGCACCCTCTGGCAATACAGAACTTCCTCTGAGGGCAGATCAGCTGTCCATGCCCAAGTGAAGTTCCTAAGCACCCGTGGAGTTGACTGCTGTTAGCCACAAGCAAAGGGAGGGCACAGACCCCGGTTCCGATCCTGTGTGAGTGACACTGAGCTCACACGTCCTGCCTCTCCCCACCGAGTTCAGACCCAGTACAGCACAAGGGAACATGCCTAGTCAGGTGCTCAGGCCTGTCTTCGTTCAGTCCTGTGGGGTTGATTTGTCGTGTCTAGAATAGACGCAATAAGCCAATTGCCAAGTGCTCTCCAGTACTCCACAGACGGAGAAGCGTAAGCGCCCCCTTCTCCCGGGGAAGGCACCGCCGTGAGCAGGCCTCGTCCGTCGACTGCGGCGATGTGGCTCACAGCTGAGGTGGCCTCACGTAGGTCAGCGGCCCGCGGTAGCGTAGACAAGGCCCTCGGCACTCGTCACATGCGCTCACCTTCTGCACAACCCGGGGGGCTCCCAGGGAGGTGGGTGTGCCGGCCCCAGTCAGTCGCTAGCGGGCGCTGTGGCGTCGCGGTGTTGCCTTTCCCCGCTCAGGCTCTGGGAGATGCTGGAGAAGCAGGGCCAGGAGAAGCAACTCTTCCACACCTACGAGACGCTGGCGAGCCGGGGC